GTTTTTTGAGGTTATGGCGGAACTCCGACCCGATGGGGTTTAATGGACCTCGGATTCGGATTCAGCGACCCCAAAAACATATAATAAACATGGTCTGATCCCCAGGCCAAAGAAATTTTTTTTTTTGTGTGGCTGTGTAATTAATATAATATATGTAAACATATTTTATATTACCTACATTTATGAGAAATACACATATGGAAAAAACATCTTGCATTATAACAACAAGAATAACGAAGGTCAAAGAAAAATAGATAACTGATGAAGATTCATGTAAGAGTTCGAAACGTTTTGCACCGCGTTTAATGCGGTGGTATTATAAGTAATTATTTTTATTTAAATATATTCAATCATCTATATTTTAGCTCAATATTGACCTTCGTTATTCTTGTTGTTATTTACATAACAAGCGTTTTGAATTTACTATCTTTCATTATTTTTACAGAGATCTGACATGGACATTAAATGATTATGTCATCTCTTTAAGATCAGAATTGCGCTCTTGGCGTAAGGTTTATTGGAGGTTGTGGGGAGATTGCCATTTTCTCTTTTGTCGGCAATGTCACATATACTTCCCGATATATCAGATTGACTGGTGTTGTTACCATCCAGAACCTGCACAATTTTTTGTAAACGAGCAACAGAAACCTACGCCCTTTCCACTGGGACGATATCCGTGTTGTAGTCAACGCGCTTATAGATTCGAAGTTTTATCAAATCAAAGCGGATGTAGATACAAAGTTAGTATCAACATTTATATGCTTATAATTAGATAATTGTGAAAATATAAAGATGAAATTTATGTGTGAAGAATGATGTTTTTATATACTTTTACTTTATTTTTTTAGGAGCACATACCCGACATAAAGAGCGAAAAAGAGTTAAATGTGTTGAATATCCTTACAACTCATAGAGAAGTTATAACTGTCGAACCTCCTCAGCTCTTCTTTCCTGAAAAGATCACGCGATTGGTGGCGCGCGATCCGTCTCTTCGTCCTGGTAAACTGGTGTGTAAGGATATAATGTGGTGGAATGGTATAGAGCTCGTACCGCCGAGACCGAAGCTTGGTTTGCTTGGTAAATTGTCATTCTGTTTGTTTTTGTGTCTTCTGTGAAAAGGAATTAATTATTATAAGAACACAGGAAAAATCTGGGGAAGTTCCGGGCTACGCCGATTGCTCCATACGCAAGATTCGCAGAAGTCTTTGCAGAAGACTCGTCAACAGATTTCTGTAACTACAGACATTTCGTCTTCTACCTCTTCGATTACAGACGAAGATGATGAGGGCGATGGCGAGACTACGTACGAAGATAGCAGTATAGACGATGAATCGTATTACAGTGAGGAATTCAATACGTTATCCACATTAAAAACTACGAGTAAAACGAAACTTTTGAATAGTTACAAGTAAATGAACCGTACATCGTATTGATCGAATACATATATAATATACAAAATTCTTTTATAATATATATAGTTTTTACATATATTACATTGTTTAGGAGCAATAGTAGATGTTGGAGCGATAATTTAAATGTGAGACACAATCAGGATAATCAGAGAGATTTTGAGGAAAGAGCCGCTACACAGATGATAGCACTTCTGACGAAGAGAACAATGAATATGGAGAACTTACTTATAAAATCGTACAAGCAACACAACTGTAAAAATAAACAACCTATCGGTATGTTTCTCTATTTTGTATGATGATGGAGCAGCTATCATATTATATATATGTATTACATGTATTAATTACATGAAACCAAACAAAATGTAAGATTTTAGAAATTTAGTTCATATAAATAACATTTATATCGGAACAGGTGGAACGTATGTAAAACTAGAAGCTGAATTTCGCGATCAGTTAGCACAGTCTTGTAAAAATAAAAATTTTTCTATAGGAAAGGCTCGCATAAAATCACATAAATCTTAATTTATATATACACAGAAGAGAAGACTAAAATTTAAATGTCATTAAAACTAAAGTGTTACAATTGTTTAAACGGTGGGGACACTTGTAAAGTTTAGTGTCTAATAAATAACTATACACAAAGAGTAAGCACAATTGTAATTTTGTTATCTTTAATTTATTTTATTAGAAAACCAATAAATACAAAAATATATTAATAAGAATAGAAAAACTAACTCCAATTTCTTAAATCAACATTCATTTTGCTTTTCTTGATCTATACAGAGTGATAATTTGCAAAAATATAAATAGCATTTGGCGTAACACAATAATAATACATATAAAAATTATTTTTTCGTTCGGATGTTAAAAGTTATCCTATAAGATAGTACTTGGAATTATTTGCACATTTGATCGACCATATCACTTCTATCCAGTAATTTGTCCAATTCCTCCTGCGTAAATACTATAAAACATAAAATATTACTCTGTCAATTTATTTCTTTATCTCATACACACGCACACATACATGCGCGTATGTACAATTTCTATAAATTTATTATTACTCAGAATGAAAAAGAAATTGTATATAACAAAATCAAGAAATTACCTTCGTTTTCTGATGTAACAACTTTATATTCCTTGGAGCTCATTAACTGCTTCAATGCTAAAAGAAAATCTTTGTTCTGCGAGATTTGTTTCGATATAATTGCTTTTTCGAGAACACGTTTAGCCTCAGCGCGCTTGATAATCTCTTCGTCTATTGTTCCTTTAGTGCACAGTCTGTAGACAACTATAGGTTTTGTTTGTCCTATTCTATGGCAGCGCGCCATGGCTTGTATATCAACTTGTGGATTCTGTAAACGTTAAGAAAGAAATTTAAGACAAGCGCAAATAACAAATGTGGAAGTGAGATCTTATAAAAAAGCCTTGACTCACCCAATCGCTATCATATATAATAACAGTGTCAGCACCAGCTAAATTCAATCCAATTCCACCAGCTCTAGTGGAGATAAGAAATAGAAACAAGTCTGGATTTGCATTGAAAGCTGCAATATCCTTCTTTCTCTTTTCTATTTCAACCGTACCATCTAATCTCACGTATTTGTAATGTCGCAACATGATATAATCTTCGATTATATCTAACAGCATGGTCATTGTCGAAAATAACAGAACTTTGTGACCTCGCGCATTGAGCTTTGCCAGCATAGCATCCAGTACTAAAAGTTTGCCGGAGGATTTGATCAAGTCAACGTCAATTTTTGGTAAACCGACCGCGTCTAACGGACAGTGAATTAAATACGGATGATTTACGATTTTTTTATACATCATGACTAAAATAAGAAATAATATATGAAATATAAATCGAATTAAAAAATTGTGTGTGTGTGCGCGTGCACACACACACACACATATTTTATATAATGTAATATATGCTACTCACTTCTATTGCCAAATTTAATGTTAATGAGAAAATCTCTATTACGTTCTGTAACATCGGTATATTGCTTCCACATTGACAAATCTTCTTTGTCTTTACATTTTACTTCCCGTTTTGTATCATCGTGATATTCTTTGTTTGTTTCTAATGAAGAATTTGCCGAACTATCCAATGAGATATTACTGGATTTTTCAAATACATACTTCTGTTTTTTTCGTAAGACACATTTTCTTTGCGGTCTTTTATTGTCTATACTTGGTATAATTGGATCTGGTTCTTCAATTTTGGACAATGTTTGCAGATCATAATTCAATACTGCCCTGTATAGATCATGTTGCAATTTAGTAAGCGGTGCATAAACAACCAGTTCTTTTTTAGGAGGTATTTCTAGGCAAACGTCAGCTTTCACTCGTCTTAGCATGAATGGTTTTAAAATTTCGCGTAGTGTCATCAACACCTTCTTTTCTTCTTCTTGTTTCAGAAGTTTTTCTGTGCCTTTCTGATGCTGAAGTTCCTTCACATCAAACCACGATTCAAACACAGTCAAATTATCAAAGATATCCGGCATCAGAAAGTTCAAGAGAGACCATAGCTCAGCTAAATTGTTTTGTAGTGGGGTCCCGGTTAGTATCAGCTTATTCATGGATTGCATACTTTTCAGAGTTCTAAAACAATTAATGCCATTTATATAGTATAACTTTACTTCTATACTTTTGTATAAGAACTAAAATTGATACATGTTTATAATTGTACAAAATTTGAAACAAATCGAAGTTGTACTTTTAATTAATGCGATCACGTTTCTCTGGCATACGTACTTCATTAACATGCAATTGTGATTTTTTATTCTTTGTCCTTCATCTACCACAATGTATCTCCAGCGTTGACTTTGAAAAAATTTAAGTTCTCTCAATGGCGTTTCATAACTGGTTATTACAACAGGTTGTGTTTTGTAACTATTAACAGTATATTTTGTTTTAATCTTTCCATATAAATGCTTTCTTTTAATTGATGAGCCATAAAACAATATGGTTGGTATATCCGGAGCGAATCGTTCAAATTCTATCACCCAATTTGGTATAGTGGAAAGAGGTGCAATTATCAAATAAGGCCCGCTCTGTTCTTTCTCTATGAGATGGCACATCATTGCTATTACTTGTATTGTTTTTCCAAGACCCATTTCGTCAGCTAGGATTCCATTTATGCCATTTTTATAAAGTACTTTCATCCACTTTAAACCATCTTTCTGATAATCACGTAACTCTCCACGAAAATATTTCAATGCAAGAACCTCATTATGAGCAGATTTTCTTATTTCACTATCCGAATCTTTGTGTAATTCTGCTGCAATGTCTTCTTCACACAATCTTTTTTTTCTTTTTCTTCCAAGATGCTGCACTTCTCTCATCTGTAAATTGAAATCAAATTAAAATTCTTTTGCATATAAATAACATTGAACTAATTATGAGCAAAAAACCAGATTGACCTGTGGCTCAATAATAGTATTTGTACGGAAATGTGTGAGCAAAAGTTAAATCTCCGACTATAATAATGAGATTTTTACGAGTCTGCTGATGACATAAAAAAATCTTAGTTTATATTAAATTATTAATGTAAATTAACATAGTTTAGTAAAGTCTTTTTTTAACATTAAGTGATATTATCTCACACGGAAAAATATTCTACAGAAATTTTCATTAAATGTTCATTAGACATTTATATGAAGTTATGGACATCTACTAAATATCTAATGTACGTTATGTTTGTGCTAGATTTTCTACTTCATCAAACAATATCCCGAATTTTTTTCAGAGTGTTTTAAACATTTTAAAAAAGGAGTAGGATTTAAAATTCAAATTTTTTGAGGCCAAAAAAATATATTAAGGCAATTAATTGTGAAAAGCAAAAGCAGATATCTCTATATCTGAAATGATGTTATTTGACAAAGCCAATGTTAGCTAATATAGAGCTTTGTTGTCTTTCAAGAGTGATCAAATCAAATGTAAAACAATTGTACAAACAGTTATTTTATTTTTATTAAAAATGCGAAAAACTAATAAAACTTGTCATGTGGCACAATTTATAATTACTATTAATAGAATATCATGAAAAATAATTAATTTTTATGCTGAAACATTTCTATTGTATAACAAAAATTCATATAATTTCATGATATTAAGTAGATACATGAAAAGCAAAAGTCTATAGTTTTTTATTTCTTACTTCTGTAGATATGTAGTCTTGCATATTATATTTCTCTTGATCAGCTCTTCTTAATCTCTTCTTATTTGGTGGTATATTTTCATCATTAACAGAAGAAGATACACCTTTCTTTTTAGTAGTCATATCAGATTCAACTTTCTTCAGTAAGTAAGATGAAAAAAATTTACTCTGATTCAACAAATGCATCAATAGCTTGTACCTCCGTTCGTGAAGTTCTTTCTGATACTGTTCTTCTACAAGCTGTTTATTTTCCTCTGAGAGACGTTTTCTGGATTTTTGGGAGTTTTTTACTTCTTCCAATGATGCAGAAGTATTGAATTTGACATCAGCAGCAAGTGGTATTTTTTCTTGGGTAAGACAAATAAAGTATATAAGTGAGAAACAACAAAAGCTTTGTTAATTTTCAAAACTAAACAAAAAAAAAATAAATTTAGTTACATACAAGCACAAGGAAAGTTATATTCAATCCTACAGAACAAACACTTCATTAGACATCTAGTAGATATTGCATGGAGTTGTTGATGTCTAATGAACGTTTAATAAAGTTTTGTTCTATGTGGGATATAATTCGATAATTTATGTATAAAACATAACTTTCTTTTTAAATTAATCTTCTTTAGTTAATGAAATTGAATTTAAATGTCAATTGATTAATAAAATTTTTATACAATTTAGAAGAATTACAACAACTACAATTTAGAATTTATGTATAGAAGTTGAAAATTTAAATTAAAGAAATTGATGTATAAAAATTGAAAATTTTAATTTTAATTTACTGTCTCTTACAGTATGTATATAAGTAAAGGAAGGAGACTTACAAAAGTATTTTAATATGAGCATAGTATGAGAATTTATTGTAATATATTTAAAGAATAACAAATAAGTATAATATAAATGTCACTTTCGAACAAAACTAGCGATGTTATATTTATATAAATATTTAAAATCAAAGATTTAGCACATACATAAGAGCGAAATCTTTTGATTTCTTACAGAAAGAGCCTTCTTCAATCGCAAGTTTATGTACTAAATCTTTAATTTTGTTTAACTATATTTAACATCTATTTTTGCTTGAAAGTGACCTTTATTATACTTATTTGTTGTTTTACTACAAACGTTTTATGAGCGGTTTGTATTTTTCTTTTACTTGAAAATAAGTGGAACAAATTGAACATGTTTATTGCACAGAAACTTTAAATGTAAGAATTTATTGTATAAGATCTTGTTCCTATAAATCTTATCTTCTCTTTACGATTTGAGTAATTTCTATCGTTTTTGTACTAGCTGGTGAAGTTAGCCATTTTTGTTATAATATTGTACACACATTTATATTTAATATTTATATATTTGTATATATTATATGTATGTAGCATGATATTGTGGTGTTTTAATATAATAAAAGAATTAGGGCCGATATTGTTCCACCCAATAAATCTCAGTTTACTCAACAAGTTATTATCTATAGGAAACCTGACTAGCGCATCACCTATTGTTTTTTATTTCTATATATTTATCTGTTAGATACAACTTTTACGGTACCGAGTGTCGTGTAATTTATCTTTTAATTTTTGGTCATTTATTAAATATATAAATTTTACCGACGCAAATCAGAGTTTTAACCATTAGATAAATTACCCGAATATTTTATCCGAAGGTGGAACAACCGTCCCTTAGAAAAACAAATCGGTTTCACCACATACGCGCGCGCATCTACACACACACACACACACAAAATTCCATCCATTTTTCTAACCCCTTGCACAATGGAATAGCGATAGAAATATAACTCCAGTTTTAAAGAGTTTATATTTATAAATAACGGTAGGAACAACGGAATCTAACATACAAAAATACATATGTATCAATGCAGATCAGAAAACGGAATAAGCAATAGCGGTAAAATTTCCCACGAGTTGGAATTCTGTGTCTATTGCTTATTGCTATCACTATTCCCTCGCATCGTGCAAGAGGGTTCTCTGTAAGAAAAATTTTGTTTGAAATCGCACGTCACTCGACACATGAAACTGATCAGAAGAAAATTTGATTTGAGTCACATAGAAGTCAAATAGAAGTTCACGTAGAATAACAATCGATATATATTTGCTTATATAAAAAAGTATGTATTGCTTTAACCCTATTTTTTAACACTTCTAACACAAAAACTTCAGTATAGTGCAAATGAATAAACTCACCTGTGCTGTACAAGCTTTCTTGTTTAGTATTAATTGTGATAGATTTGCTACTAGAAACAACTTCCATTGTGATTATACAATACCACTATATATTATTGAGTAATAAAATTTACCGAAGAGTTAAAAGAAAATCAAAACAAATTATAGAAGAACAATTAAAAAGATAAAACTTATGTCTATCTGTCGAAGACACAATGCTCAGCCACATGTTATGAGAGCTCAAATCTTCTCTATGCTTCGTACAACATAACGTACGTTCGCGCCAAATTAATGCCACTAGAGAGAAGCCTGAGAGCGGCCAGGCCCATAAAATTTGTAATCACTTTTCCGCTCTGTAAGCCAGCGCAATGTTCATAGTGGTACACATTAGCAACTACGTAGCCATGTCCACGAACGACTTGTCGGTACGTACGCTATAGGTCTGTTCTTTTTCCATACTTTGGCTGCACTAGTTCACAGTCTATCTTTTTCCTTTTAATATAGATAAAACAAGATAGACTGTGAACTAATGCAGCCAAAGTATGAAAAAAGAACAGACTTTGGGTGCTTTCCAATTACGTACACAAGCGACACTGTGTAACACCCATATATGTAATACTCCTATATTGCTAGTCGCGTATCTTCGCAATGAGAGGCACGAGGCCCGAGAAAGGGAGACGCACGAAGTCCAAATATATGGGCATAGATGGTCGAGCGTCATTATGCGCAGGCGCATCTACCAAGTGAGTGCGAGCGAGACAAAACATTGGAAAGTAAGAGAAAGAACGCGAGAAAGAGAAATGCGCAAGCGTGCTTCAATGTTCACCGCATGCACACAAAGCAGCTGGAGAGAGAGGCTACTATGGCTGCTTTCCTTTTAAGAGACACAGTCGACACAAGTCGACACAAAAGTCATTCTGTCTTTGTTCAGTATTCAGTGAGAAACAAAGACAGAATGACTTTTGTGTCGACTTGTGTCGACTGTGTCTCCTAAAAGGAAAGCAGCCTATATTGTCTGCACCGTAACGGTGAGCTTCAGGTCGGCACCGTACTAGCAATATAGGAGTATTACATATATGGTAACACCAGAGAGAAGCCTGAGAGCGGCCATGCCATTGTAGTTTCTTACGACGGTTTCAGCTGCTGGTTTTAGCCGTAATTCCACAAAAGTGGAACTTAAAGGCCGTTCTCCATAAAACTCAAGTCGCAGGTCTCGTGGAACTGATCAATCACGTTGGTCGATTGGCTGATTTGACTCTGCAATTGGTCAATTCCACGAGATCTGATACTTGCGTTTAATGTAGAACGGCCTTTGAGTTCCACTTTTGTAGAAATACGGCTAAAATCAGCGGCTGAAACCGTCGTAAAAAATTACAATAGGGTGGCCGCTCTCAGATTTCTCTCTGGTACACTTCGGTGCTTTCCAACTATGACACAAGTCGACACAATTGTACACAGCTAAAATGCTGTGTTCAACTGTGTCACTCTATGGATACCAACTTTTTCCGTTTATTTTTCTATGGAATGCTATTAAGCCCCTTGCACAATGGAAGGAATAGCGATAGCGATAGAAATAACACAGTTTTTAACACAGAATTCCAACTCGTTGGAAATTTTATCGCTATTACTTATTCCGATTTTCTGATCTGCATTGATACATGTGTAGTTTTGTATGTTAGATTCCGCTGTTCCTACTTTTATTTTTAAATATAAACTCTTTAAAACTTTTGTTATTTCTATCGCTATCGCTATTCCGTCCATTGTGCAAGAGGCTTTAGGTCTGTTTTTCTTGCATACACTTTATACATTTTAGTGTAAAGTGTACACTTTAGCGTTTTTCTTGCCGGAAGTGGCGTTGAGTTACGTCAGTACACAGCGCGTCATTGGTCTAGTTTCCACCGAAACCCTCAATTCGGTTTCACTCCGGTACGGATTAAATTTAGTGTTCCGTTTCCATTGGAAGTAGAGTACTTATAGATCGAAGCGGAAGCGAAATCAGCGCAATTTGACAGGTTTCCATCGACTTAAATTTGATTTTACGTCGCATTAAGTGTGAATTAATGCTTCGGTGGAAACTAGAACATTGAATCGCGGAATAAGTGCGGGATCGGTGGACAAGCGGGGCGGCTGCTCGCCAACAAGCGCCGTACGAATCGTACGGCCCGCTTGCCCTCCGATCCCCGCGTCTATTCCGCGATTCAGTGACGCGCTGTGTACACGCTGTTCTTCTTGAAAGTGTAGTACACTTTAATGACGTAATTTAGGCTGCTTTCCTTTTAAGAGACACAGTCGACACAAGTCGACACAAAAGTCATTCTGTCTTCGTTCAGTATTCAGTGAGAAACAAAGACAGAATGACTTTTGTGTCGACTTGTGTCGACTGTGTCTCCTAAAAGGAAAGCAGCCTTATACGTTTTGTACACCTCCTTGAGAGGTGGTGTAAAGCTAGTGTAACGTTACCCCGATAGCCATGGGTGTGTTTAGCCGAAGCTAGCGCTACGTAGCGCTACGTAGCGGCTTCATGTAGCAGTTGCAATTGCTGCGTTACTTCTGCTGGACAGTATGGCTACGCGTAGCATGTTCTAAGTAGTGGCCGCCATTTACAATAATACCGTCTCAATTATAATACTTTGACACTTTTTTTGCCATTTTTATAAATAATTAAAAAACAGTTTAGCAACCGAAGAATACAACGGCGATTTGTATACAAACATATTTGCGCTTACAAAAAGCGCTGCGCGTAGCAATACTGTCCAGCAGAAGTAACGCAGCAATTGCAACTGCTACATGAAGCCGCTACGTAGCGCTAGCTTCGGCTAAACACACCCCATGTGATGGCACCGTGACGCCACTGCGACCGCACGCTGTGACGCACGCGTGACAGCACGAGTATGTCCAGGTACGTCCGCGCTATGTCGTCATCGTGACAGCACGTCGTGCCATCGCACTGGGTGCGGTCACAGTGCTTTCACAGTGGCATCACTGTGGCATCACTGTGCGATCAAAGTGGCGTTATGTGTGGCTAGACCCGTGCGCCGTTTTATTTTATATCGGCGGCGGCGTTTGAGGTAAATTAGTGTGGCGGCGGCGGCGGCGGCGTAACACGGCGGCGCAAGAGTCTAGATTGTAGGTATTAAGGTCTATCTACATAAAACGCAGACGCAGGTCGCAG